ATCCCAAATAAAAATTAGACAAAATCCCAAGTTAAAAAAAGTAACAAATTTTTTTTTGCACATTTCGTAAAAGGGAAACCAGCTCAAAGGTGTCAAAATCCCAATTGGGAGTATGACACTCCCTCTGCAGTGTCATATTCCCAAGTAAAAAAATTTTACTTGGGATTTTGTCATGGCACCGAAAAATCATTAGTTTTTCTTCTTGCAATGAAAAGTAATGATATTTCCCTTTTACAGAAATGTGAAATACATTTGAAAAGCTAACGATTTTACAGAATTTGCCACTGACCATTTTGTAAACAGTTATCCACATAACAATAATAATATTTAACATTTTTATTCATATATTTATATTTGAAAATTTGATTTTCTTTTTCAATTAATAATAAAGAACTGTTTTTCCTAAAACCTGGAATCAACTTATATTCAAAAATTATTTCTTGATTTTCCATTTTAATCAAAGCACAAAACACGTGGATTATGAAAATATGCAATTTGACAATATGCAATATGACATTGATTAGGAAAGTTGCCAGGTGAAATGAATAACAATTAAATGCACATTCACAATGACAAATAAATTCATATGAGAGATAAGGCCATATGGCTTTAACTCACAATTGACAAAAAAAAAATATGGCATTATCTCTCAATACGAAGCGTGATAATGCCATATGGCTTTACCTCGCAATTGGATGGGAGATAGAGCCATATGGCGTTATCTCGCATGGCTTTATCGCACCCCACCGAAATTTTTGGGTTAAAGAAAGTATAAGTTTCCTGGTATCCTTTACAACGATACCAATTTTTTAAAAATCGTTTTGTAATTTTTTTTTTATATTTTTTTTTATAAAAAAAGAAATTGTTTGCTTTTAAGTGTTTTTTCTCACATTTTTATATACGAAGTATACAAATATGCATACCAGTAGAGGGGGAGTTTACTCACCTTTACAACGATACCAAATTTTTGAAAATCGGTCAGTATTTTTTTTAACGTTTTTTTTGTATAAAAAAGATATTTTTCCCTTTTAAGTGTTTTTTTCTCAGATTTTTATATACGAAGTATACAAATACGCATATCGGAAGAGGTAAAGTTTGATTGCGTTTACAGCAATATACATTTTTTAAAAATCGGTTGGTAATTTTTTTGTTTAAAATATTTTTTTAATAACGAAAAAGTGTTTTTCCTTTTAAATATTTTTCCTCAAATTTTTGCATACGAAGTATACAAATATGCATATCAGAAGAAAGGAGGTTTAATCACGTTTACAATGATTTTTAAAAATCAGTTCAAAATTGTTTGAAATATAAGGATTTTAATTTTTCGAAGACCCGACCTTTGACCCCTCATAGTACCTGTAATATAAGTTTGCACAAACAAAGTTATATACCATTTAGGTAAGAGCAAAATGCGGACTACGTCTATGTTTTTAGTTTTTTAGTTGTTTACATATAATAATAAAAAATAATTTTTTACCAAAGGTCCTATTTCGAAATTCGAAGGCCCATATCTCGATTTTGGAGACTAACTTCCAGAAACGGAGAAATCTTTTTTTTACCTATGACTTAATCTCTTAAAAAAAATTGGTTTGGTCCAATACCCAGCCGATTGCTATACAGTGTAATCATTCCAGTATCTTCATTTATGTATATTGTAACTATCAATGCCTTATAAAGGGAAGTCTAAAATTTTTTTTATCTAAAACTAATAAAGTTAGAAGGACGAAATTCGAGGCAGTGGAAGTTTACATATTAGTCCTTGACATATATTTTTTTCTAAAATAAATATTGGAAATTTTCAAGGATAAAGTTTTAAAAGGACATTTTCCAATCTTATTCGTCCTGGTGCACCAAAAAATTAATTTTGTTTCAATTCTACAGAATTTTTCCTTTTAAGTGATTCCCATATTATTACTCTACAATGCGCCAAATTTTTTAAACAATTTTTTAATTCAATCATATCCTAGAAATTTCAAAGTTCTTAAAAAAAAATCCTGACGTCAGAGAAAAAAACTAAAAACGCAGTTTTACTATATTTGACCCCCAGTTTTGTGAATATATTGATCCTTTCGTGTGTTGTAAAAATTTTTGGTTTTTGTCGCACGGTGTTATAAGCAGGGACCGTAACGGTTATGTTTTTTTCAAAAGTAAAAAAACAATCGTTATTTTTTCAGTCAAGAATAAAAGTTACAAATTGACTTTCATTTTTTCGGTCAAAAATAGAGGTTAACACTTGAAGTTTATTTGTTCGGTAAAATATAAAAGTTAAAACATGACTTTTATTTTTTCGGTCAAAAATAAAAGATAAAATTTGACTTTATGGATTTGATGGATTACCGGGAGAGTAAAAAATGTATATACCCCCCGTTAAGATATCTGGCATGTATTATACATCAAGTGCCAGCGACACAAGTCAGAGTAGAATGCGCGTTCTCTGCAATAAGGTTATTCTTAGCGATTTGCCATACAATTTGTCGGAGCAGAACTTGACGGCTATATTGATTGTTAAATTGAATTCCGAATCATTCCTGTAAAAAGGTAAATAACTTAAAGCTTAAATTGAAGAAACTCAATATATGTATTTAGAGTCCGACCGATTAATCGGTATCGGCATCTGCATCGGCATCGGCTAGTATCGGCACAAAATTGAGCATCGGCCTTTGTCGCCGATTCTTTGCCGATTATCTTGGAATTTCTTTTCATATGTTCAGGTGAAGCGACAGACACCAGACAACATCAAAAAACATTTGCAGACAGCTCACAAAAATGATTTTTTTTGGTAGAAGGTGTTTCACGTTTTTTCCATAAAAAACTATGTTCGACAATTTTCGGAGACACAGCCGCTAAATTTAAACGTAGAATACGTGGTATGGTTAAAAGTATATCAAAGTCCAAAACGAACGCACACACTAAGAAAAAAATATCGATAACGAAAGCGATAATAATATCGATAGCAAAATCGATAAAGAATCTATGAAAATATCGATA